GAACATTTTACTTTATACGAAATAAAATACTACTACTTGTCATACTAATGTTGTAGGCCTTAGGGATGCTTAAGCTGCTAAGCATTAAAAGATTATAAGCTCACAAAACAATACATTGTAAAGGCATCATCATCATTGTCTTTTGGCAGGTTTCATTGTAAAAGCATTGGGTAAAGTGCTAAATATATATATATAAATTAACAAAATTATGTAACTTACCCCAATGTCAATATGAAATTCAAATTGTTGTAACGGATGGATGGGAATTTTGATTCCGGGTATCCTGCTTTGAGATTTAGAGTAAACTCATTCTGGTCTCTTGCAGCTGATGAGCAAGTGAACTTCCAACCTGAATGAATAATCACGAAAATGAAGAATAATCCAACTTTCTCTCCCTCTATTTTACCTCACTTCAACTTGGCCGAAATCAAATTTTCAAGATTAACTGAAAAATAATCGAAAAATTAAAAAGAAAAAAGAAACATACCACAAGAAGATTTTCTAATTACAGTTTTTACTCTTTAAGAATTATAATAAGGATTAATTTAAAACCCTCAATTCTTTTTCTTGGTGGTGGACTTTAGACAACATAATATTTACATGATTATATTTATACGTAATTTGTTATTTTAATAATAATTTTACGTAATTTTTTAATGTATAAATAATTTTAATTTTATTTATTTAATTTTAGAAAAATTTGTTAATTACTACCTCAAAAAAAGGGTCTTTGTGAATTACTACCCCTAAAAAAAAAGTTGTTAATTACTACCCTAAAACTGATTTACTATAGCAACTACTACCTTTTTTACTAATCCGCCTACTTAATTTCATAATGATATCATTATTCATCTAAATTCTAATTAGTAGCTCTAAAACCTTAATTAATTAGATAAACCTTAGCACCACCTTTCCACCACCATTGTATCACCTCCGGCGGCCCCTCTTTGGCCCCTTACCGCCTCCGACAACTCCTTCACCATGAAACTTACTCCCTGCGCTCAATCCCCCAGACCACCACAAAACCCTCACGTTCTCCCACCACAAAATCCACCCTCTTCCTGTTCCCCCACCAGATTTTCATCTCTATATCGCTTTCCCGGCACACAATTCCCACCCCCTCACCTTCCATCACCACTAAACCCATCATCCCTATCATTCCCCACAACGAAACAAAGCCCTGTCCCGTGGATGGGCTATTTTCGGGGGCTAGAAGAAGGGAAGAGGCGGTAATCAGGATTGAGGAAAAGGGAGGGGTGGGTTTTAAGGTTTGGGGCAAAGGAAGGGGCGGTAATTGCGGTGGGTTTCGCAGTGGAGGTGAGTTTTTTGGTGGATGACAAAGAGAGAGTGGATTTCGTAGTGGGGGAGCCGCCGGAGGTGGTAAAAGAGGGTTGTTGGAGGTGGTGGGTAGATGGTGCAAGGGTTTATCTGATTAATTAGGGTTTAAAAGCTATTAATTAAAATTTAGACAAATAATAATGTCATTAAGAGCTTAAGTAGGTTCATTAAGAAAAAAGGTAGTAGTTACTAGAATTAATCTGTTTTTGGGTAGTAATTAACAACTTTTTTTTTTAGGGGTAGTAATTCACAAAAGACCCCTTTTTGAGGTAGTAATTAACAAATTTTCCTTAATTTTATTTCAACAATAATAATAATAGATTACACAAGCCTAGATTCACTATTTATATTACATAAATACACTAAATGAAGCCCGTGCGATGCCCAGTTTATTTGATTTTTTGTATTTCGGTGAGCTGATTTGTGATTTTTTATTTTTCTTTTCTTTAACAATTTCCAATAAAGAATTTAATTTATGCATATATGCAGTTTGTAAAGGAAGAAGTTTATTCCCAAACACTTCGGCGATCTTGGACAAAGGACAAGTTAGGTATTCTACACCACATCATCCACGGACTGTGGATGATGGGTGATGAAAAATTAAAGAGAAATGGAATTCCATATGATGACAAGGTAATGTATCTCCTGCTACTTAAAGTTAATCCTCCATTCTATCTCAAGCTCACTCTCTTCCTTTTCACCTGCACTTGCCCGCACCCTCCCTATGACCTCTTTCTTGTTCCATCTCTTTCAACAAGAACAATAAGCTAGCATGTGACAATCATCCTGCTGTTGTACTAATGTGCCATTGCAATCTACATATCTTAAATCTCAAAACAGAGTGACATATCAACAATAATCTAGAATCTAAATAATATTTGAGAAACAAAAACAACCTAACTAAAATGTTATTAGCCACAGTAGAATATGTGGCATATAATTTGTTAGCCACATTAATATTCGTGGCAAGTCAATTTGTTTGCCACATGAATACTCGTGGCATAAAATATAAAATTTACCATGACATCCATTTTCCCATGGCAAATTCCTAGCCATGGTCTCTTATGCCACATGAGTAAATTTCTAAATTCCCGTAGCTAAATTACATAGCCACGGGAATTTCAAAGTTGTGCCACAATTCTACTCGTGGCACAAAGGTTAACTTGTTATAGACTTATAGTGCACCCACATCATAATAATCAACACAATTCTTTAAAACTATCTCTCCTTCAACGCAAAGAAACATTATACTTCGTAATTATTATTATTATTATTATTATTATTATTATTAATAATAATAATAATAACAAGTAAAATTTATAAAACTTTCCAAAAACGTATACTATGTGTGGAAAATAGTACGCAAGTCACCAAAAATGTATTTTGAGTAATATTCCATCTATATTTATTACTATAGTTTTATAAATTATTTTTTTTTTTCAAAATACATATTGTATTAATAATTTCCTTTACAATCAAACTAATAATGCATGCCCACTCCTTTGTTAGGTTTTTTTTTTTTAAAAAAAAAATTGTTAATATGTATTTAAATAATTTATTTCAAAATACATGTAGTGATTATTTCTACTACTAGTCTACCACACAATAGTAAATAGGGTATTTTTAATTTAATCAGTTTCAAAACATGTGTAAAAAATTCAAAAAATTCCCTACATTATTATGGTTGGTGAATGTGGGAAAATTTCGGATATTTTGAAACTAATTATATCAACATAGTAATAAGGAAAAAAAAATACGCTATTTACTATTGTGTGATGTAGAAATTACTATATGTATTAGAAAAAAAAAATTAATTACATATTGATTTTTTTTTTTAAAAAAAACCTAACAAAAGGGTGGAGCATTATTAATTTGGATTGTAAAAAAAATTGTTAACGTAATACTATGTATGTATTTTGAAAAGAAAACAGAAAATTAATATAAAAAATAGGAAATTTTGTCAGATAACACCTTTTAAAACCAAATTGTTGTGAAAAAACACCTTGTAAACTTTTCTTGTTAAAACACACCTAATACCAGAATTTTTTTGCGAGAACACACCTTAGGGCGGTTTTAGGGGGATTGACTCGGTTTTCCGGCGTTGACCATCACGTGAAGGTCACGTGCCGACATCCTTCCTTTCTTTTTCCCCTTTTTTCTCCAATTATTTTCTCTCTCCTCAAGACCACCAAACGTTTTTGTTATATGGAAGTCGATGCATTGATTCCTTGTATGGTTGTGGCTGTAAAGATGAATTACAATTCTCCAATTAGGCGGTCCTCATCTACGCCAAGATGTCATTACAGAATTGAAGACATACTACTCGTGTATGGAGGATATGAATTAATAAATACAATTGTTTATTTCTTAGAATTATTAACTTAGCTCTTTAATTAGTTTCATATTTATTGAAAATTATGCTTTGCTTTCTTGTAAATTTTATGCAATACCATTGAAGTAAACTGTGAACTTAACTGGTGTCCTTTCTGTGTTGAGTAAGCTTTTCCTACTTAATCAAGGATTGTTGTTGTGTTTTATCAACATGTTTCTAGGTGCTGTAATTTTAAGCTCTATTAATGTCATTTTTGTATTTGCAATATTCCAGTTAATCGTGTCTGATTACCTCCTTCCTATTTATGATTATGTTACTGCTTCGCTTTGTGCTATGTGCTTCTTTTCAATAATAATAGTTTAAGAGATCAGTAGTCATATACAACCAGACCATAACACAGTGGCTCAAGTGTACGTATATTCATTCAGACTATAATCTATGTATTTAGCTTAATTTGCTTTGGATTTCCTTTCTTTATATTTTAGTTCCATTAACTGCTGCATATTCCACGAAAGGCTGCAAGTTTTGATCAAACAAGGACATTTCTAGCTGGGAGATGACCAAATGCTGTTTCATACCGAAAAGTACAGAATATCAACAAAGACAAAAGTAATCCGCTAGTTTCCAATATGTTCTTACTGCACATCATCTAGAGCTCAATGCATACAATATTCTGATTTACTATTTCTCATCATTATATTATCATAGTGTACATTAATGTGTCAGTATAAGGTTGTCAATATGATTTACTATATCTCATCATTATATTATCATCATCATCATCTACGGAGTACAGCAGGAAGGGAGGCTGGTCGTGAAACTTGATTGATATAATCAGTAAATCACAAGCATTTTGGGTTATCAGACTCCGAGGGGAGTGAAATTTATTAGTTGATGAACAATGGCACCCTCTCAGCTACAAACAACCTTCTACAATGAAATTTATTAGAGAAGCAGAGGAGTAGCCCCTTTATGTATGCTGCTCAGGTTTGGTAGCCTCGGCATAGTACTCTTACACTACGGAGGAGAAGTGTGGGTTTGGCTGCTTCAAAAATACGCTATATCTTCAAATATATGCTGTAGATTAATAATTTATTTTCCTTTTGAAGAAGTTGATTAATAATTCAAAAAAAAAAAAAAAAAAAGTGTTGAATTCAAAATGAATGAGCTATATAAGTCACAGAATATAGTTTCTGAAGTAGTTATTCATTAAGTCTACAAACTAATTCATCAGCTTCTGTTTAGATTTTTCTTTCTATATGTTCTGTGTTCATTATAGCACAGTTGCATAAAATTTACCAAAGGATGGAAGTTTTGATCAATCGATAAGTGGACATCTCTAGCTGGGAGACAACTTTATGTACTTCAGAGATAATATTACAGTAGAAATAAAATCTATTTATAAACATAGTAGTAATAACTACTAACTGAGAAAAAAATCAAAGTATGCCGTAATCACAAAATCTATTAAAATATGATGGAAATGCCTGCTTAATGATTATCATGACAGTAGGTAGATTCTGCAATGTTATTCTTCTGTAAATGAGTCAACAAATGAAAAACAATGCGACACTGGCAGACAGTTCTGAACCTCATACTTCATTTTTCTATCAGTTGGTCAATGGGAATAGAAGCAATGGAGCATAGAAAGTGAACCAGATTACCAGAAGCTTCAGGTTTTTTCATAAAATAGTAAAAGTATGCTACCTTATCATGGGCGAGCTTCATAGTTCAGACCCTTTTCTTGAAGGTAACAGTGTGCAGCAAGTTTTGGAATTGAAGCTTTTTTTTTTTAACATTAATGGCATACATACGATACAGCCGTTTTCTTTATTTAAACAAACCCTCCAAGCCTCTGTTGTGCTGTGTGTACTTCTGCTGAACCATGAATACTGGCATCTTCAAGAGGAAAGGGTGAAAAGAAATGTAATGGTCTTTGAGGTTTTCCAAAGGCTAACAGTGGCGGAGCCCAAACTTAGTTCCTACTATTGGTTATGTTATCTGTCACAGTAATTATGAAATACAGCCCCAATACTGTGTACAAGAACAGCAGGCTCTTCACAACCAACACATATGGTGGCTTCATGAGTAAAAAAGTGATTATTTAGTCAAGGTAAAACTGTAAGCAAGAGCAATCCACTTCAGAGAAGTAAAAAAAATAATGGAGTGACATCCATAAAAGCACCATATCGAATTGAGCAGAAACAATGCATTAAACCACATTCTTCAAAAACTTCTGCTGCTAAATCATTGAAATGACTTGGTATAACCCTATAGTTAGTAAACATTTTCCAGGCATCTTTAAGTCGGAGTTCAATTTTTAATGATCTCTTGGCAGCCCATTCTATGACAAACATCCAAAGAGCGGGTAGTAATGCAACCATACGAGTCAAGTTGAATGCCAACTTGCTCTGGAAGATAATGCTTCCACAAGTCATCTAGGATGATCACAGATTTTTTTTCATCTCACAGAATCTCTGAAATAATAAAGCCTTCTTCCTCTCCTTATCTTCCCGTGACAGATCAAGACCTACAACCTTCCCGGCCTCATATTGCAACTTTTCAAGGCTACAATCTCGTGATGCAGCCAATAAACTTGTCCTGCAGTGTCAGAGTGAGTCTGTTAGGAGGCTGTTGTAAAGTTGTTTCACTAAGGTTTTCTTTCCGACACTACCTATTCCATAAACACCAATTGCAAATACGACATCCTCTTTAACAACCTTAAGATTGATTCAATGTTTTCGGTACAACTTTGGCCAACTAACCTTGTTGTGACCATTGGAATTCTCGTGCTTTCGTGATCATCCAGTACAACTCCTTAAGGAAACTTTCCCTGCTGAGTGAGTTCTTCAACTTCTTTGGTTTCTTTTTCGATGTGGCTCTTAAGATTTCTACTAGGACCCTGCTCTCTAAATTCAGTGTCAATCAGTTGAAGTTCTGACTTCTTTTCTTTTACATGTGTGAACCACAACTCAACTTCTTTTCTTTGCTTCTTTCCTGGTTGTATTACTGCAATCATTAATATTGAGAGGTTATCTGACTCAAGAGCAGTGAGGTGGTTTAGTTTACTCCTAAAAGTTTTCAGCTCGTTATCTAAGTTGGTAGCCCACAATTTGCCAAAAGCTTCTTTCATTGCAACTCCTGATGAAGGAAAAGTATCAAAATGAAGCAAAGACGTACTGCATGTATGCATTGAAAATTGAAAGTCTGTATACTATTTCCATTCTGCAAAATTACTGAATTCAGATAAATGTACAGTCTTCAACAATAAGAGCAAACAAAAAACTTGGTGTATTTGTTGGACAATCAGTCTGGGAAATATGAAATAACATACACCTAAAAAAATGCTAAAATAGTTGATATTCTAAAGAGCTCAAGCAAAAGCCATTTTGATACTAACTACAAAACATAATATTTTTTTTTTAAAAAAAAAAAAACAAAACAAAAAACAAAAAAGACAGAGGCAGAAATTAGAAAATAAAATAAATTGTTCATTAATATACCTTGTGATAAACAGCTTAAACACTAACTAAAGATTGTGGCTCGGTTAGAATAGGTGAATAGTACACTAAACAAGGTGAGCTTGGGAATTCTCAATTTGTTTGATTTGTGATGATATTGTCCTTTGTGCTTTAGTCATTAGTCCTATTTTTTATACTGGTGAAAAACCTTTTGTCACAAAACCACCTAATTAAGGAACAATTATTAGATCAATAATGCTAAAGGTTTGCAATCAAATACAATGAAAAATTGTCTCCATAACATTTAGAGATTGTAGCCTGATTGTAGAGGATGACGTGACGGGTAAGGATGATGATGTAACAGGTAAGAGGTTAAGCTGCTTTTATCTGCTATTTAGCCTGTACATATCTTCAAGCTTATACTAATTAATATTTATAGCTTTCTTTTTCATTTAGTTATTAGTCCCTAAATTTATAGCAGATTACTTGTTGGTTGTTAGGAGAATTAATTCTTATGCTGCAATGTTGCCCATCTCATTTGGTGAGTAGATCAATAATAGTGGGCTTAATTTTTTTTTCTCTTTACTCTGGAAAACCTTACAGTATATAAACTTTAGTTTCTATAAACTCTGAGCTAATTTTCCTTGTAAAATTTCTTTTTATAAAAAATCCTTGAATGTTCAAAAAATTTGGTTAATGTAACTCTAGAAATTTTATAATGAACCAAATTTTATAGTTATAATGAACCCTATAACTTAGCTCATGGTGATCATCCTAGAATGCAGTTAGATACTCATGTGCTCTTACTGGTCCCAACTTTATCAGGATGTTCTTAATAATGATCATCGACACTGATTGCTCGAATTAAGCTAGATTTTGCTTAGAGCTTCCTGTTTGTGAATTCTTCTACTAATTAATAGAAGAAAATCAGAGAATGAATACGTACTCTAATGTACCTCAGATAGTTCAGTAACACAAATCTGAATTCAATATAGCAAAATGATGCCTCAGCTGCTGAATACTTGGGCAATCTAAAGAAGGTATGGGATCAGCTTCAGATTTTAGAAGGCAGTCCCGAATGCACTTGTGGACCAATAATGAACCGCAACTGTGGCATGTTCAGAAGTTCTTGAGAGTTGAGATAGATCAGAGGCAAAATGATGCAAGTTTTAATAGGTTTCAATAGAAATTTTGATCAAGTGAAGACAAACTTGTTAAGTTCTGATCTTTTACCTAGCATCAATAAAGCTTATAACACCCCTTCATAAATAAATAAATAAATAAAGATTATTAGACCTTTGTAACAAGTTAATTAAGTAACAGCATAAGATAAATAATGTCACACCTAGTTTCGAAATTAATGCAGCAAGAGCTTCAATATCAGAAGAAGGATTTTTAGAAACTGAGAACTGATGTAATGTGTGAACATTGCAAGAAGAATATTTTAATACTCAACTGGTATTCTAGGTGCAGGACCTATTGAAAAAGATTAATCAAGCAATTCAAAAGTTGGTGGAGAAAATTATGCCATGGATCCACAATTATCTCAGATATATAGAATGAGGAGATGAAGATGATGAAACTGCAGATTGATGATAATTATGTTGCAAATAATCCTTTGGCTGCTATTGCTAAAACTGTCAGCTATGCAAGTAATTCTATCACTTCAAATGGTTTGATTATAATAGAAAAAGTTGGACAATTGAAACATCTAGGTGAAAGTGTGAAACTGCAGGAGCAATCAGAATTCATGTTGGTTTGCCATATAAATTTTGGTATGTAATATGGTTGTTGCTCATATTATTAATCAGCTTCCTAAAAATCTTAATTCTGTTTTGAATTGGAAAAGTCCTTATAATTTTTGTTCTCAATAGGAGACCAGAATATGATGATCAATAGGTTATTAGATATATATGTTACCTTGCTGAAAAAGAATTAGCTAAGTTTCCACCCAGCGCGAAGAAATGTATTATAAGTGGTTAACTTGTAAGAGTATAAATTGGTTGATCTTGAGATTACAAAATGATTGTTTCAAGTAAAGATGTACTGTTGTCTTCAAAGAACACATTTTTGCTCTCTAATTATACATTTCAGACATTATATTATCTTCTTCTACTATTAAACATTGCCTTGTCATTCCAGCTTTAGTTCCAAATTAAACCTGAACCACATATTCCTATATCTCACTGTCCTATTTCTCCTGATTCTAAATCTCAGAATTCTATACCTATTACCTCTGCTCTTCCTGGTTTTGATTAATTTTTTCCTAATTCTGAGCAAAAATCCAGTCTGTTCCTGTCAGAAATTCTACAAGGTCGAAACAATTTCCTAGGAAATATGAAAAGTTTATTGTTTCTAAGCCCTACAGAAAATAATTTGTAGTTTTAAAGTCTTTTCTGACACTAGCAGGCAGTACCAAATCTCACACTTTTGGTTTTCAATCATTTTGTCATTGGCTAAATGCTATGGAAGAAAGAGACTAATCAGAAATTTCGGCCATTTTCATAAAACAGTTAAAGGCATGCTGAAGTGGGAAAAAATTATTAGAAATAGTTCAACAAAAAAAAAAGTGTTAACTGCTGACACTAATTTAGCTATTTACCAGTAATCACCTTGTACGGGCAAGCTTCAAGACCTTTTTCTGGAAGTTAACAGTTGTGCAGCAAGTTTTGGAACCCAAACTTCTTGCATCTTGAAACAAATGACATACACTCATTGTCTATTTGTCTTGTATGGACTTATGCTGAGCCATGAAGATTAAGCTGGATACATCCAGCATTTGTTGACTGTGGTCTGTTAATCAGACTTAAAAGTTGATTCGCATCATGGGGATGATCTTTCCGTAACCATTGCCACCAATGTGGGTTGTTGGGAAGAGAATCCAAAGAAGAAGGAGAGGAATCACAAAGAAAAGCTATCGAGAGTGGCAACATATCCAGCTTTGGGCATTCATCTGCACAAAATTCTTGAAGACTGGTACAAAACATTAGCCCACTATATATGCACCTTAACTTCGGTAGATCCCACAACTTTAAAACCCTTAAACTGGGAAGAGTAAGGAAAAAATTGGTAGGATAGGCATTCTCAAGGGCAGCGATGGCTGAACAATTATTGGCTACAGCAAATATCTCCACCAATTCCGCACACCCAGCAACATGAATCTGTTGAAGACATGGGAAAAGGATCTGCCCCTGCTCAAACAGATTGAGGGGAAATAACATCTTGATTCTTGAACATGCTTCAATCATCAAGATCTTCAGATGAGAAAATATCCCAGATGGTGATACTCCACCTAATTCAAGCAGTCCTTTCAAATCACATAGATCAAATAGTTCAAGATATTCCACAGTTTCAAGAGGAGGATAGACAGAGGGAGAAGAATGTTCTTGTGTGCCGGACAATATGTACTCCAAACCTGTACATTCACGGACATGCAAATTCTTCAGCTCCTTAGCTTTATAAAGAGAAGGGAAAATATCTTCCAGGCTTCTACTTTCCTTCGTACTACACTTGTCAATCTCCAGCAATTGCATATCATGTGGAAGCCAAGGGGCAGGTTCCTTTTTCCTGAACTCTTCTCCTGAGATCACCACTTCCTTGTTCAATAACCTACCTGGTCCCTCGGAGTCTCCACCCTGTTTATAAAGCCAAAACCCGTAGCAGTGTAGCTGTTGAAAGTGTTGGGATTCTATGTACTTGTTAAAAGCATCCACATGTGATAATTTCCATCCACAACTTACCTCCTCCAGTTCCCTTAAACCTTCCATTCCTAATGGTGCTTCTTCTATCCCTGTACCATACAGATTTAATACTCTTAGTTTCCTAAGCTTGGCAAGTGAGGGTACGTAAATTAGATTGGCACAAAATCGAAGTAAAAGCAGCCTAAGATTTTCAAGATCAGAAACAGAACTTGGAAGCCTCTTAATTTTAGTAGCAGATAAATCAAGGACTGCTAGTGAGCTCATATGCACAAAGAAAGAGTCCGGGATTCCTTTCAAAGGATTCTTATGCAGCAACAACACTGAGAGTTTGGGACATCTAGGTGACATATGATAAGGAATTTCCTCTATCTTATTATCCATCAAGGACACCTTGACTAGATCCTCGCTCCAATGTCCTTCTCCAGGTAATTGTTCAATCTGCAAACCAGGTTTAGCCATAAAGCGAGGATGGTTTTGAGTAATGAGAATCGCCATGTCTCTTATCACATCATGCATCTTCACACACTCAACGCAGTCAGGCCCAAAGGCTGATTCAAGTAAACAAGCATTTTCCAGTTTTTTTAGTATAGTGTATCCCTTGTTTACTTGATCTTGCCTGCTTTCTATGTCATCCAACAATCCCTCCATAACCCAATGTTCTATTAATCCCCCTCTCCATATGGGATAATCTTCCGGATATAATATGCAACTCAAGAAACACTGCTGGACTTTTTCATCATTCAGGCGATCATAACTATATTTCAGTTTCTGTAGTACATCATTTTCCATATCTTCCAGCCTATGGACAGGATTTCTCAATTCAGCCAGAGCATTTTGCCACTCAAAGATGTCATATACTCCTCTCATGCTACATGCCATTGTAATAATCGCAAGTGGCAAACCACCACATTCTTTAGCAACTAGTTCAGCTTTCTGTTTTGCTCCCATAGAGAGTGCTTCATAATTCTCAAGCTTGTCGATGAACAACTTCCAGGCTTCATTGCCTGCAAGAGGCTCTAGTTTAACAACAGCTTCTTTGCATCCCATTCTTCGACATACCTCTAATAAGCGAGTGGTTAATATGACCTTGCAACTGTTTGCTCCAACTGGGATACCAATATCCTCTATTGAGACGTGTTTCCACATATCATCTAGGATGAATATGGTTGGTCCCATGTTGGCTAACCTACTATGGAGAATGGCAGCTCTCTTCTTATCGTCTTTTTCAATGGAAAGATCAAGACAAATTGCTTTTGCAATGTTGTGCTGCAACTTGTACAAGCTACAATCTTGTGACACAGTAACCCAATAAACATGCCCGGAAATTCTAAAATCATGAAGGAGTTGATTATGTACGTGCATCAACAACGTAGTTTTTCCCACACCACCCATTCCATACACCCCAATCATAAGCACATCATCATTTTTCAACCACAATGATATTTTGTCAGCAGTCACTTCGAGCATTTTTCCAACTAAATCTGTTACCACTAACGGAACACGCCTGCTATTGCTATCATCCAAAAGAAGTCCATTCTGGAACCTACCATGCTCAAGCAGGTCTTCAATCTCTTTAGTTAGCATGTCAACACGCCTAGTGAGCTGAGAACGGAATCCGTGTTCTTTGGCTTCATTGCTTATGTTTCCAAACTCAGTTCTTTTCAACTCTACATGTCTGAGCCAAACATCAACCTCTCTTTTCCGTTTCTTTCCTGGCTGGATTTCAGCATTCTCAAGTTCTAAACGAACATCACTTTCCCGAGCACAAAGCCGATCCCATTTATTCCGAAGTACCACCAGCTTTTGGCTACTATCAGAGTTACTGCTTATCCAGCTATGCAACAGGTTCATCAGTACCTTATCCAAGAAAATTACTTGAAAATGTCAGGCAACAATTTTCTAGCAAAGTTAGCTTTACTAGTAAACTTTAATCCACTTAATCCCATAAAAACTAAACTTAGCACTATATTGTGAGCCAAAAATCATCAGGTTCATAAGACGTTAGTCTTATTACAGTCAAACTTTGTTCACAGATGTCAGAAATCCGAACGCGATCCAAATCTAAGATTTACACTACATTAATCCACTAATAGTCCCGGTTTCCAAAAAAAAAAAGTCCAATAATAGTCCCGGAATTAATCTAGATTTATTTCTGGGGTTATGACATTTCAAAACTATCTTACAGTTCAACAAGTAGATTAGCTTCATTACTTTCCTAATAAGATTGGGTTAATGAATAAAGCTTGGATTTATAATCCAATAATTGGCTAATTGCACAATATTTATAAGGCACGAAATATCATTGTACATTAAGTATACCTCCAATTTCCTAATACTAGTCAAATAATAATACAATATCCTGAAGATGTCAATCATACTTCATTAATTACATACAGTATGTAAATAGTATATTCCTACAATCCTACCAAATAAGAAATAATACCTAGAATTCAATAAGAAAGAAAGTGCAGATCTATAATTTCTCATGCACTAGTTTTTCCGGGATTTTGAGCCAAAAGTCAGCAAATTTAAAGGGTAGTTTACAATTGCTGATTTGGTTGATTATATATTTATATGTACAGTTTAATCAAATCAATGCAGAAAGAAATGCTCTTTTTTGGAAGCTGTCAATAGATAGAGAGAATTTTTTTTTTTTTTTTTTTACTTTTTCGAAAGAGAATGAAAAGATCAAATTTTTAGGAGTATTCCGTACCTTTTATGACAACTCTGTAGTAGTTTCTGAGATGCAGCAAGACTCTGAATCTGGAAAGAAGAGACAAAATGTAAAACTAAAGGAAATTGCTGATTGGGTTTGACCCTGAAAATTTTTAGCACGCTATTGAAGTCACTACTGGGGTACCAATTCTAAAATTAATCCACAGTAATCCAAAAAAATAAATAAGTACGGAGTAAATAAATAAAAATGGTCAATTTGGGTTAAAAAAAAGGGTCAATTTCACACTTAGGCCATGTTTAGTTTAACTTAATCACTATTATTAAAACAGAAGATGATGACATAATCATTGCCCACACTTCGCTTTCTTAATAAAAATTTACCCGCCTAAATGCAAGATGATGTCATCTTCCTCTTTTTTTGAAATTTAAATATTAGAAGCTTCTACTATTCTACATTACTCCGTACAAGTTTACAACTAAAGCCTATCAATTTATTGTAAGAAATAAACAATTTAAATAGCACACTAATAAATGACCTCTTACATTGAAATATGAATTAGACGACGTTAAACACATACTATATCATAATGATGAAAATAAAAGAATTAAAAATTAAAAATGTGTGTATACTTATTTATATTCATGTATAATAGTCATTTATATTTAAAATGTACAAATTAAAAATAGGTTTTATATAAACCGTGCATTGCACAGGTTCTAACCTAGTAAATAATACTTCCTTCGTTCTTTTATTATTGCACCACAGAGGTTGGCACACTTTTTTGGGTAGTGGGATAAGGGAAGAGAGAGGGTGCTAAAATTACAAAGTTATTCATGTAATGCAAGCATAAACCAAAGAATCAAGTGGCAAAAGTAAGGATATATTGGATATTTGTAGTGTGAACAGAGATGTTTTGTTTTTAAAATAGAAATGGTGCAATATTTGTAAAACTTCCTTAAAAGGTAAGGGGTGCAATAAATAAATAAAATAAAAAAAACGGAGGAGGTATTAAATAAAAGTAATTTCAATTCTATAAATTTAATACGAGAACAATAATCATAGTAGAATAAATCAATTATCAATGGAGTCATACCTAATTATATAATATGAACAGAAAATTGCCATTTTTGGTAGTAGTAAAACTAATAATTCATTTAATTGAGATCAAATTGTAAGGAAAAAATTGGGAGAATTACCTAGTTGGCTAGTTTTGTTGAGCTACAACTAATCCTGGGCACCGTGCCGTGCCGGGCCGCGGGCTGGTTCGTGTCGTGCCGGTCGTGCCGGCGGGCCCAGGATTTCGTGCCGTGCCGTGCCGGCCATTTTCACAGGCCAGCCCACGGCACGGCACGGCCCTCGTGCCTGGCGGGCTCGTGCCGTGCCGGCCACGTGCCGGGCTGCGGGCTGGCCCGCGCGGGCTGGTGCAGTTTTCAATTTTTTTATTTTTTTTTTTTTTTTTTTTTAATGACAACATTATTAATTAATAAGTTTATAATGTATATAAGTTATAAAATTATAATTATAAGTTTTATAAGGTAACTTATAAGTTTATAACTTATAAGTTATAAGTTATTAAGTTATGAATTTTATAATTATAAGTTGAATATTTATGTTTTATAATTTGTATATTCAATATTTATATTTATATATTTACTTTATACTATTACTTTAAAATTTAATGTTTATGATTTATTAGTAATTGGTATAATTTTATTTTTTTTTAATATGAATTTACAAATTGTAACAAAACGGGGAAAAAAGGCAAATTGGACTTTGGATGTGAATAATGCGTACTTTATATTATTATTACTTGAGTTGAGAAAATTGTACAATGATAACAATGATAAAAATCATACAATGATGGTATTAAACAAAAATTGGAAAATGATAAAATTGATATTTTTAAAATCGTACAATATACAATAATTGTCTATTCTTCTTCTCCTTCTTCTTGCTCGTCTTCGTCTTCGTCTTCGTCTTCGTCTTCGTCTTCGTCTTCGCCTTCGCCTTCAAGGTCATCGGCTAGTTGCATAGATTGGGAACTAGCCGAACCCGAACCGGAAGCGGAGGTTCCTTCTTCGTTGTCGTTGTGGTCGTAAGAACGGTCTTGTGAGCGATTTTCCGCATCCAACCAATCTTTGAAACACACGCACATTTCTAGTGTTTCGGGTTTTAGACTTGTTCTTCTATCGTCTAAAACCCTTCCGGATGCGCTGAAAGCTCGTTCGGAGGCGACGGAGGAAACTTGGATAGCAAGAATGTCTCGTGCCATTGCCGCCAAAGTTGGATGCTTCGAGCTTTGTTGTTTCCACCATGCAAGGAGGTCGAGGCTGTTTATCTCATCGTCGTCCATGCCTTTGGTGAAGTCGTAACTCAGGTACATCTGCAACTCCGAGACGTCGCTTTGCGTTCTCCTGATTGATGAATCACCTGAAAACCTTGAAATCAAGTTAGTAGCTTGTGAAAATAAATGTTTGGCCTTCTTACTTACGTTTTTAGATGGTTGGGAAGGCCCTGAGCGAGGAACGGTGCCATATTTGGCTTCATAGACTCTATATAAAGCAAAAAACTGATCCTTCACATTAGTCTTATAGTTTTCTACATCATCGTCAAGAAACATGCATTGAAAGTAAATGTCAACTAACATAAATGTGTTTTCATACTTTTGCCTAGGATCTAATATGGAAGCAAAAATATAAATCAAAGGAATCTGACTATAATATTTACGCCACTTTTTTTCCATTGCTGGAAGATACTGATCATAATCACTTTGATCGCGATGATCAGCGAAAAGTTGGGCGAGTAAGCATGCATTAGAAAGAAAGTTTTGTGCACAAGGATTGTAAACAGTAGAAAAACAATACGTCATGTTATATAATAACTGTAAAAATTGCATATATCTTTCACAGTTATTCCAATCATCATCATACAAAGCATTTTGTGGAAATTTTTGGTTGTAAAATAATGTTAACGGGCCCTTGTACTCAATTGCCTTTGTTAACATGTCATAGGTGGAATTCCACCTAGTTGGGCAATCGGTTCTAATTTTTATTACCCTTATCTTTTGTTGTTTTAGAAAACTCTTCCATTCTTGGTATCTCATGTTAGAGCTATTAATAGACATAATAGCATCTCTGATTTTGCTGTAGTATGGGCCAATTGCCCGAACTCCATCCTGTACACATAAGTTAAGTACATGGCAAACACATCTAGTATGAAGAGCTTCACCGTCTAATAGTACATCGGTTAAGTTTTGTTTGATAAGATTAGCTGTGTATGTCATAGAGGTTGCATTATCAAAAGTCATAGACATCATTTTATCTCGAAGGTTGTATTCGTCTATTGCTTGCATTAAATGGTGAGCAATGTTAATGCCGGTGTGTGGGTATTCCAGCATTTTGAAATGTATTATTCTTTTTTGTAACATCCATTGATCATCTACCCAATGGCAAGTCACACATAAATAGTGATATTTATAACCACTATCCCAAGAATCGGCTGTTAAAGATACTCTACAGTTAAGGTTACTCAATTCGGCTTGTAACCGGACTTTGTACTCTAGGAAATTTTTCATTGCTGCGGAACGAACGGTTTTCCTAGAGATTCTTTTATGTTGGGGTTGTAGTGCTTTGTTAATGTAGGTGTTGAATGCGTCACTTTCCGAGAAAAGAAAAGGTTGTTCGGCGTGTACTATCATTTTTCCTAGTTCATCCCTATCCCTCTCATAGTTGTATGTAAAGCCGTATGGATGGAATTGGGAAATTTTGGGCTGGGTTGGATCACTAGCTGGTTTTGCACAAGCTTTCATGTGTCTAGATAAGTGTCCCGTCCCGTTTTTGGTAACTGCCGTGAATACACTATTACATGTTTTACATTTTGCCCATTGTTCACCATCTTTACTTAGGACAAAATAAAGCCATACCTCACTCCTTCGGTTTTTCAAAAGTAGCATCTCAGTTTCGGTTAACCATTCATGATGTGTGTATTGGTTAGTAGGGGGACTAGTGGGAGTGGCAGTAGAAGGGGTAGTAGAACCGGAGGGAATTCGGGTACTTTCTTGGCTACCTTGGCTAGAACAATAGTTTTGTTGATTACCGATATAATTAGGTGGAAATTGGTATGGTGGTTGTGGAAATTGGTTTAGTGGTGGTGCTGGAAATCCCGACGTATTATATGGCTCATAGCCCGGGGGGAAGTAAATGGGGTCATTGGTTTGACTCGTAATTTGGGGGCTCGTTGTATTTGGTGGTTCCCTAGAACTACTACTACGGATAAGTCGGCCTTTCCCCCTAGACCTAGATGATGGGTTGTTCGATACCATAATTAACAATTAATTTTTTAATAAAAAGTGGTTAACTATAATAATAATAATTAATAACAACAATTTTAACAATAAAAATATCAATAATAATAATTAATAACAACAACTATAACAATAACAATAACAACAAAAATAAATAATAACAACAATTGTAACAATAATAATAATTAATAACAACAATTATAACAACAACAATAACAAATTAACAATTAACAACAATAATAATTAAACAAGATTATTCTAATAATAACAATAAAACAATAATAAATTTAAGATTAGTTTAGATCTTACAACCGTGCTTCAACGCTCCACTAATTACGATTACGAACTTTTTAATTTTTTCCGATATTAGGAAAATAATTAGAGAATTTAAGAGAATAATTAGAGAATTTAAGAAAATAAGGATTATTAGAGATTTAGAGAATATAAGAGATAAGAAGAAGAGATTGTGATTTTGTGATTTGGGAATGAAATGGAGGTGAGTATTTATAGAATTTTTGGCAAAAAACTAGCCGTTTATAGCCGTTTAACTAGCCGTTTAACTAGCCGTTGGCCCGCGGGCCGTGCCTTCGGGCCGTGCCTGCGGGCCAGCACGGCGGGCCTTGCTCGTGCTCGTGCCGGGCCGTGCTTGGGAATTCTCCACCGTGTCCGTGGCACGGCCCGTGGCACGGAAGTCGAACTTCGTGCCGTGCCGTGCTTGACTTCGGGCCGTGCCGGGCTGCTCCGAACGGCGGGCCGTGCCGGGCGGCACGCGGGCCAACCCGGCCCGTGCCCAGGTTTAGCTACAACATTGACCAAAATTTGATTTTCCGTCGACAACATCAAGAACACTATTTCATCGGAAGCCAAAAAGTATTAAACTTTACCCATGTGATTCAATTACTAGCTGAGAAATTTAAAATTGTTTAAATTAAAGATTTGAGGTTGATAAATTATATGGGTTATTTATCGAGGAGGGAGCCTCAGTTACTCACAGTGACCAGTGTTTATCAAGAGGTAAGTTTGTAAATTCCATCATATAGTGAAGGTTAGTTTTGAAATGTCTAATCAAA